AGTGACCGATTTAGGCGTCAGTACCGATATGAAAGACATACGCCTTAAGAAACTCAGTCCAGTGAACTACTAGTTTTGAAGTGGGCGTATGGAGGTGCCACAATTACGGGACGAAGTTCACGCCATAAGAAGTGTGGACCCTGGGTAGATAAATAATGTGACGCCCTTAGATTGTCTTTGATCAATATAGGAATGAAACATATATTTTTTGGTAATCCGTTTTATTAAGTCAAAACCGAGGCAACCCGACTACCTTGTGACATATTGATATATTTTCCTTTTAGCACTGAGGCAACTGCCTCCAGGACTTTAGGATTGTGTCTTGCAACATTTTTTTTTTTTTGTTAGTTAGGATGTGTATAGCAAACATTTGTTTTTTATTTGACATTATGTAGCTTAGGCTGCATCGCATAGACTCCGCATGGAGGGTGTTCCACATCCTAGAGTTCTCAGCTTTCCTTGTTGCAGAGTTCCACTGCTTTTGTGGATAGCGTGTTTATGGCTCATGCAATCCACTACAAGTTTGAGGATCGTGCAACATGCCTCTGGTTGCCCTGGCCTAGAGCCGGAACTATTCAACTAGTTGCCTGTTCGGCCTGTGAGATCGGGTTGTAGCCTGACCTCACAAGCTGTGTGTTGTTACGTCTTGTCCAGTTCTGCTCGGTACCATTGTCGGTACCAGGCCACTTTAGTCTAGTTCAATCCTTCCGCTGGGAGTCTACCCCACCTAGAGACTGTTTTCAGTCTCATTCTTCATCAACACATTTTGGAGTACGTGCGTGTTAAGTCTGCATAGGAGTTGCGCTGTCCCTTTCAACTCAATCTCCATCTCCCTCATCCTCACCCCTTTGTCTTGATCCTGGCGGACCGCCATCCCGACCGGTCTGTCACATATGTTATACAAAAATTAAATTTGAGCAACTTTTATCTCAAGATCGTATTGAAATGATTTACAAATTATTATTATTATTAATATTATTTTTTTTTAGGCAAGTTGTTTCATAAGACTTTGGCAACCCGTAAAAAATATGTAAATGCTAGGTTACCAGAGAGGCTTGGGGCCGCTTGCCTGGCTGGGCGAAAAAAAAAATAAGTTTTTAATTTAATTTTCAATGTTAAGTTTATGAAAAATTTTACGATGTGACCCTAGGGCAAAAGTTGTTCAACTTATTTTTTTGCATAACATAGATTTTTTTGTGAGTTTTTGCTTTTTTTTTTTTTTTTTCTTCAGGGGGGGACCTTCGTTGTTCCTTGCACGACCGGGCCTCCCTGGAAAACAAGTTGACCCGGGCGGCCCGACTGGTATCCTAGTGTAAATGTGATTATGTGATGATATGTAAAAAAAAAATAAAAAAAAAATCAATGTCTTGAACGAAATGTATTATTAGATAGACAAAAATTAAGAGAGAAGGATAAACAAAAATAAGTAAATAAATAAAACAAGCTAATAGTGGAGTACACACCTTAGATATGGTTGGTGCCCCGGACCATCATCTAAAGGTTGCCCGTTGGTCGCCCCGGTCGACATTAAGTAGACATTGTCGATATTCGTGGGGGGAAGAGATAGGAGGGGAGGTGCAAGGATTGATGTAGTTGGCATGGTCTCTGATGACCCTGTTCGTTGTCGCTCATCCGGAGGCCGGGTGCAATCCTTATGTGTTCCCTCATCATAGGTATGAATATAGATGTGGCTACTGAGGAGTTCCTCGTAATACTATGATGATGTAAGATAACAGTCGGACCGCTTTGGTCATCTTGCTTGTCCGGTCAGCCTGGTCGTGCCAAGACCAAAAAAGGTCCCATCCCCCCCCCCCCAAAAAAAAAAA